ACATGAGAAAAATAATGGTGAAGTACCCAGGGCAAAGAGCATTCCCTTCTGGAAATGATCTCTTGTCATGCTTAATTTTGATATTTTTTGCAAAAATGTTTTATTCAGCAAGGATGTTCTGCCTGTTCCAGTACCAGCCTCATTTCTCCAAAGGATCTCTTGACTGTCTATTATAATTCTTGTTTCACTCTCAAAACACTTTCTTGAAATGAGTACTTCTAATAAGCACCTCTATTCATGTAAGCACTCCAGAAAATCCTCTAGATGGTTAAGAGGAGACGCTGAAGAAACACTCAGAACCGTCAGAGTAAAGCTTTTATCTCCCAGAAAACTCTGGGAGAGTCACTCTTGAGAAACACTGAATGCTCTGCCAGGCACGTCAGCTGCTGTTTAGCCATTCCACAACTGAAAGGGCTTCAGGTACAATCCTATGCAGAATATACAGACAGTCCATTAACCCGGGGGCTGAAACAGGCAGGCTGCTTATTTGACAGGCTCTGGGCAGGTCAAATTTATTGTTAAAATCCTGAAATTGCTTCTAGAAACGAAATGTAAGGTTTATTGTATTTACAAAACCTGGTTTAAGCTTAAATTAAGTATTAATTTTGTACACAGTTTGTTTTTGCAAACGGTAGTCGTGATGTAAGATAAGTTACAATAGCAGTGGTCCTACCTATACTGATTTTATTGACATGATGGTTTTTTGCTTGTTTGAGTTCTGAGGTTTTGCTTTGGTTTTGTTTGTAATTTCAGCAATATTTTCACTGAAATGCTTCTTTGTTATTGTCTCTTCTGCCTCAGACTGTATCATTTGTGTATTTGTTTTGAAAGAGAACTTAACAGAGGAGGGAAAGAAGTCTAAGTAAAATATCATAATGCCAATATAGTGGCTGGTGAAAAGTGGTAGATTTATGGCCCTAAGAAATGAAAGATGTCATTTATCTGTGTTGCCAGTGCAGCTCATTCTTTGGCAACTTCTCCACAGCAAGGCATCAGTACTCTCAGATCCTGAGGTTTAGCTACTCTGACCCTGCATGTGGGAGAACTGGGTCAGCTTTGATTTTGCAGAAGCTTTCTCAGTCCATACCACTTGTCAGTTCCTGCAGGACAGGCCTTGTAGTTTGATTAGGGTGGCACTTGCTGCCTTTGTGTTTGCATGGTTTGGCATTTACAATTTCTACTACTCCTGTATATATAAATCACAATTATTTCTGCATTGAAAGACTTACCTTGCCGAAAACAATTTATCTTTTTCCTATCCTGTTAGTTGCATCTACTTTAAAGATTCCAAATAATATAGTCTAGTAATGTGGCAATTTCCTGTGTTGACAAATAGTGTAACTACCACTAGAGGGCTTTAATAAGGACACAGATCTTACCTCTGTTACACCCTTTCCAATCTGGAGGAATTTAATGGAAAGTGTAGTTGCCCATTTTCCTTTAAATTGGAAAGATAGGCTGACAGATTTTTTTTTTTTTAATTAAATCAAAGTTCAGCCTAATAATTTGTGTAGATAATTTGCTTCTTTAAAGTTCAGTTAAAAAAAAAAGAAAGAGAAATTTTCCAAGCTAGCACTTGGAAACGGAAAGGTTCTCCTAATTGTGAAGACTAACCTTAAAGTCAGTTTACAGCCTGGTCCTTTAAATGCCTTTCAGGTGACTGTTTTTAGGGACAGAAACTCTTGGTTAGCTCTTAGCAGAGCTGGGTGAAGGGGGATCCAGAGGCTGGGGTGATCATGTATAGAACAGCCCAGGCTTCACCATGGCTCCAGCACTGATAGAAAGCAACAAAATTTCTCCAGGGTCTAATGGCTAAAATTCATTTAATAATACTTAGCACTTACCACTTTGGGTACATCTTCAAAGAGCTGAACTAATAGCAGCTAATTTAATCTTCAAACAAACTGAGTGAGGAGAATTATCATTGCTGTTAACTGAGGGCCAGAGCAAAGGAATGGCACTGCAGAGAAACAAAAACGTACACTTCTAGCCAGCTGCTTTGTGCCTGACTAATAGGAAATGTTTTTAGAGGATTTAATCATGATGGGTATTTTAGGGTGGCTGCTGACTCCTCCCAAATCCTACATAGCTGTTATTTCATAATCTAAAGGTAAATTCAAGGTTTTAAGATTAGGGGAGAGAAGAACTAAAAAAAAAGAAAAAAAGCTTTTTATGGACCGGGAATCATATTCCCTTTTATAGGACTAAACTAAACTGTCCAGGAGAAGAGACATTTCAGTTCCTTCTCCCCAGAGCTGTGATTCTCAAGGACCCCATTTAACCCCCTTTACACGATTTGGAAAGGGGAGAGCAGCACGTCCAGCTGGGCACCTCGAGGGCCCTGATGGTCTCTCCTGGGGTCACCTCGAGGGCCCTGATGGTCTCTCCTGGGACCCCACGCGTTCTGCAGCTCTGGGGGTGTGGAGGTGGGAGTGCATAACAGCAGGGGAATAGATAAAGGAATAATCAGGGACATAGGAGGGCAATGAATGGCCTATAAAGAAACGATGTATTTGCTTCTAAATAAAAGACAAGTCCTGGCTGGAGGTTTATTTGATTTAGTGAAGCCCTTTTCAGGTCTTTATGTAAAAACTATCAAAAATCTAGATACCTGGGTTCACAGAAAGGATGTTTGATGAATTTCTAAAGTCTGTATTCGGTCTTCTCTGAAGCCTGCAGTAGATATGAGTTACTAGTCAGATGCAAATTTAGCAAGCTTGGCTTTTGCTCAGGTTTAAGGACACATCCACTAGGATCACCTTCAGAAAAAAAGTTAGAGAATAATTGGTTTTCTACCATTGCGAATCCAAAACCAAGCACAGAAGTGCACAGGTTTTAAGTACTTATGTACATATGTATATGTATATTTATATGCATAAAATTAACACCTAGTTTTAAGCAAGCAATCTAGTTGAAAACCAAAGACACCTAGTTTTACACAAACACACATCTACATATTGATATGTTTAAGTGTTACTTTTTGCAGGAACTGCAAAAATGCTTAGGTCAAGTGAGATGCTGTGTTTACATTTTAGTAAAATTGCAGTGCATTCGAAAGTATTATATATTTTGAAGTAAAGAATTAGAACTCTTTGCTTTGGGAATGGAAAATATTTTTTTTAAGTTTTTAGTAATTTTATTATTAATATTACTATTCAAATAATTTGTTGTTTTTTTTTTTCTAGTGAGTAGGTTATTGCCTAGCTTTTTATCCAGAAGAGAGCAACTGCGTTTCATCAACATATGACATGTTGTTCATATTTCAAAACCTGGGCTTCAGTCCCCAGTCCTGCCTGACAGTGACTGGTCCAGTGGAGCAACGATTCCTCCTGTCAGCCAAGTCAGTATTTCTGATGTGTGTTGGTTGTTTCCCCTTCCTGCCACCATTCCCTTGCAATTCCACTTCAGAGCACCAGGAGATTGAGGTCTAGAGTGGTTATGGGATTTCACAGCTTAGGGCACATGATAATGAAAAGCACAAATCTCCTTCATCTCTTCCCCTTGCATACCTATTTTGTGAGGATTCTACTGTAGGAACACTCCCTGCATTGCACAAAATGATGCACACCGCAGTAACAACAGTATTTTTATTTTCATTTTTTTCAAGTTGGCTCATTTTACTGGCCTTGCACTTGTCATGGATCCAACTCAGGTGAAAATGGGAAGTGATATAATACAGCATTAGCCATTGATTTGGAAGAAATGTGCAGGGCAGAAATTCTGGGTGCCTTAGGCAGGTAAGCAGTAATAGGTTACCTGCCTGAGGCATTAACTCAAAGAGCAGTGATAGTCCCTTCTACCTCTACAAAAAAAAAATATCTTTGAAGAGGAAGAGGTGTAATGTGATCACAGAGCACTCAGAAATGTATTCATTGCTCTGCTTTGTCTTTGTAAATCTTTCCAATGTTCAGCAGGACAGCTGTGCTGTGGCTGCTAGCTATTAGGGCTGCACACTGCTTTTCAGATTTACAGCTGTGTGCTTGTCATTTCCAGATGCAGTTTTACTAAGACAGTCACTCAGGAAACGTTGTGAGAAGCAGCAGGTTTCCAGTAAAACATGCCCATAAACACCACGGTTGCTGGCAAAATAAGACTTACACCCAGATGCTTTAGGAGAAAAACAGTCTATTCTTTGTTCACTTTTACCCTGAGGGTTCAACTCAGATCCATAAATATGTACAATGGAGCAGCCCATCCAGCTCGGCCGGCCGACAGGACACGTAATTCCCCATCTCGGATGCTTCTGCTATTTCTGTTGCATGGGTCTGTGCAAGGAACCTAACTGGGGCAAATAATTCAGGAAGCTGTTTCAATCAAAGCTCAAATCGTAGGCTGTGTGGTTATTTTTGTTCTCAGTTCAGCTGTGGCCAGTTGAAATCTGGGCTTTAGCTGAGAAACACAAGCGTGAAATGCACAAAACTCCTGCTGCTTCTGAATTATCCCAACAATACCCATCTCCAGTTCCTCCAGACCCTGGAAACAGCAGATTGCAGCACAAAAATTGCAAAGATTTAATTGGCACCTGACAAAGGATAAGCAAGGTAAGGACCACAGGCTGCTCAGGAACTGAACTTCTGTCAAAAGCACTAACCAGATTTGGAGATTTCTGGGAGCTCGCTGGTATTTGCAGGGACATGGCAAAACTTTGGTTTGCCAGAATGGGACAGAAAATTCAACAGTCCATAAAGTGTACAGAAGTTGGGAAGGATCTTCTGTAACTCCTATTTCTCAGTATGCTTATTGCTCATATCAGTAAAACTCTAAATACCAGAGCCAGCCAGACCTTGGGAACGTTTTTTTCCCTATTTCTTCTTTTTCTTGCTGGGTCTCATCTGTTCACTTCTTTACGTATTAGGAAAAATATAGTAAAGGATCATCCCAGCTGAGATTTCCTATTATATCCTTAATTTTTGTATGCTGCATTCTCCAAAATAGGATTATAACTGTGACTGGTAATAACGAATCACATGACTGTTTTTTCTCTCTTTTGTTTCTCCCAGATTTTCCTCTTAAGTGAAAGAACTTCCTGAATGAGTTTCCACTTGAATGGAAGCAGCATCGGATGGAAGACTAGAAACTGTGTGTATCCATGTGGATGTCTGCCCCCTGGTCAGAAGGGGAAGGGTATTTACCCTGCTTAAACTCAGATGGGGCACCAGGTGCCCACTGAGCTGTGCTGTCACTCCTCTCCTCAGCTGGACAGGGAAGAGAAAATGCAACAAAAGGCTCCTGGGTTGAGGTAAGAACTAGGAGAGATCACTCGCCAGTTACTGTCATGGGCAAAGCAGACTCAGAGAAATATTAATTGAATTTATTACCAATCAAATCAGAGTAGGATAACAGAAAAAACACAACAAAACAAAACAACAAATCTTGAAACACCTTCCCCCTAACCCTCTCTCCTTCCTGGCCTAACTTTACTCCCCATTTTCTCTGCCTCCTTCCTGGCAGTGATGAAGAGGATGGGAATGGAGGTTTTGGTCTGTTCATCACATGTCGTTTCTTCCACTGCTTCCTCCTCAGGGTGAGGACTCCTCACAGCCTTTCTCTGCTCCAGAGTGGGGTCTGTCCCCATGGGAGAGAGTCCTCCATGAACTTCTCCAACAAGAGTCCATCCCATGGGCTGCATTTCTTCATGAGCTGCTCCAGCTTGGATCCCTTCAGCCCTTCAGGAACAGACTGCTCCAGTGTGGGTCTCCCACAGGGTCACAAGTCCTGCCAGCAAACCTGATCCAGAGCAGTCACCCCACAGGGTCACAGCCTCACTAGGGCATCCTCCTGCTCCAGTGTTGGGTCTTCCATGGGCTGCAGGTGGGTTTCTGCTCCCCCATGGACCTCCATGGGCTGCAGGGGCTGCATGGTCAGCACCACAGGCTGCAGGGGAATCTCTGCTCCCATGCCTGGAGCACCTCCTCCTATTCCTTCTGCACTGACCTGTGTGTCTGCAGGGTTTTTGCTCTCCCATAGCCTCCCTCCTCTCTCCAGGTCAAGTTGAGCAGGTATTTTTCCCCTTCCTTAGCACATTATCCCAGAGGAGCTGCTGCTGTTGCCGAGAGGCTCAGCCTTGGACAGCAGTGAGTCTGTCTTGGAGCTGGCTGGGACTGGTTCCACTGCACTCAGGGGAAGCTTCTGGCACCCTCTCAGAGAAGCCACCCCTGTAGCTCCCCCACTCCCAAAACCTTGCCATGCAAACCCAATACAAACAGAACACTTTATCTTTCACTCTCATCTCTCTGATGGAGCGGGGCATTTATTTTTCTGGCAAGTGTTGTGTTTTCTTTTTAGCCTGTGTACCCCCTCTGTAGCATAGAAATCATTTCCTTATAGCTGTTTTTACAGTGTAGGGTAAAAGTTGATGTATTCATTACCAAGGCTCCCCAGGCATTTTTTTTGTGCAATTTATAGAGATGTACTGAATGAAAGATATCTGCTGCCAGCTTGTCAGCCCGAGCGTGGGACTGTGCAGTCCTTCCCAGCGAGTGTGTTGTCTTGTGACTCCTGCCTGCTCTCCAGTGGCTTTGCAAAAAAGCAAAGGGGACTTGGGAGCCAAAACAATAGTGACAAATTGAAATGTAGAAGTGAAACTTCAGAACATCTCCTGCCCCTGAGCACACGGTGCAGAATGATCTTTTTACCCCTTGAGATCCTGGCTCATTCTGTAAAAGGTTTTCATTTCAAAAGATACACGTGCCAAAAAAGCGGCTTTTCCTCTTTCCTGAGAATCTAATTAAAATATATAAGATAGTACAAGCAACGTATCAATAATGCTCTAACGTGCAAATTTTGCACCTACTGCATGTTGACCAGATTGACACTCCTTGTAGGAGAAAAAAAATGTATTTCCCTGAGGATTAAAAGAAAAAAATATGTTGACATAAACTGCTTAGAACTGTGAGCTGAGAATGCTATTCCCAGCCAGTGTCAGATTTTCTTCCTAAAGGATGACGAGCTTCATCGCAATTGAAAATCTCTATTGCTTTAGTAGCTTTGTTTGTCATCTGGCTTCTTTCACTCTTTCTGCGTGGAAATGTTCCCCCTATGAATGTTTTTACTTCTTTCACACTTTATTTTTTCAGGTGTGCCTTGAGATTGGTAAGACAGTGCATAAAATACCAAACTTGGGAAATTTCAAAATAAGATTTTTTTTTTGCAGTCTCTAATAGAAAAATATTTCTTTATGCATTTTATTAAAACCTTATTTTTATTAATGAAGATTAATTTATAAATGAGGATTTCCTTCCTCATTTCTTTCTCTGTGTGTCTTGCCATTTTTGTTTCCACTGGACACAAGAGTGTCAGACTACCCAGACTTCATTGCATTTCAGTGAGTACCCCGGCAAACGGCATTCCTTGACCTGCTGACATCTCTTGCTTTTTGCAGCAACTTCTAATTTTGTCAAAGGTGATGTGGTCTAGCACAGCTTTGGCAATGAGATCCTCCAGGGCCGTCAGCAGGAGCAGTTATGAACTGTTCATGCAGCTACAGCTCCCCTCAGTTTCTCTTACCTGGCAGGTTCAGCTTCACTACAACCAAACCACACCATGAGGCGTGTGCAAGGGAAGATAAAGAAATTAAATGCATTGAAAGAACTAATTAATGCAAACAAGAGGAAGAATTGCCTTCTAGCATTGAGGAAGACGCTTCCTTCCATTAGCAGAGGCTGCATTTGGGTCACAATTAAAAAAAACCAGTACGATAAATGTTTACTTTGAGTGAGTGTGAATAGCAAACCGAAGGTATTAGTGAAGATTTTCTGGAAGCACCTTTTAATGTGGATCCAGTTCTGAAGTTCTGCATATACTCTAGAGTTAGGTGATACAGTATCAACAGGATGGCTTTTGAATCATTAATTGAGGTGTGTGATTAAAGGTGATTAGGCAGTTACAGCTCTGGGAGAGAAAGCTGATTCTTTGCCTCTTGTATGCTGTTTTCATGGACTCTGTTGATTACACCATGGAGGCAGGGAAGGGTGAAGCACAGTGGTTAGGTCACCTTAATGAGGGCAAATAAAATGTGTTTTTTCCAAAGAGGTGGAAAACCTTCTTAATTAGACATTTGTGGAACACTATTACTTTTTTATACGTTTTTTTTTATTGTGGTTGTTTTCCCAGGAACCTCCATTTAACAGAGGGATGTTTTATGTGGTATGTTCTGGCTTTGTACATGGAGGCAGAAGTTTTTATTTTTTAATTTTTTTAGGAGCAAGGAATATGTATAACATATATAGTATTTATAACTGCTCTTTATATACACTGTCTTTGTCACTCAAAAATAACAGAAATAGCGAGCTTTTCATATACACTATTTTTTAAAATATGCTATTTCCCAACATGACTTTCTGGGGGATCTGTTTGATTACCCTTTGTACTTTCATAGGTCTGGCACTCTGCAGTAAAAAGGTCTATAAAAATTCCTTTATAATTATTTTAATAGATGAACCTTTTTCATAGAATAAAAGACTAAACAAAAAAGTCTAAACCAAAAAAGTCTCAACCAAAAAAGTCTCAAAGATAGCATCAGCCTACTGACTCCATGTATCCACCATATTTTCAGTGTAAATTACAAAACTTTGAAATTTTTTAAAGGTTTTGAAAGTCTTTCACATCCTTGGCTTCTTTGTGTGAAATAACCTAGACTAGAGTGGCAAAGGAACCTGAAAGGGCCAGCTCCCTGAAACTGCAGATACTTGGCCAGCTTCTGGAAGGAGCAACTTTCTGAACAGGCTCCCTGGGGGATTTGTGTGGATGAAAACAGAGCAATAAGAAATAAAAAAAGGTAAGCACACAGCTACTTCTGCTTTTGAGATGATTTAGTAAGAACAAGCTTGTGTCTCAAATGTTGTACTTCATCAGAACTTCATGTTTGGATGCTAGGAGGATGCTTGGATGAGACAGTTGGAGTTTCTATTCCAGCTTTTGGAGTTGGATTTCTAAAGCTTTTCTTTCACTGCAGAACTGCCATGGAGGAGCTAATGCCCTTATTTAATATAATAACTCTGTGATTAATATATCCTGTCAGTGTGTGGGAAACCTGAATTCAATTTCCTCCTGTGCTTGAGGGATTTGAACTCCAGACCACACAAAGTGACCTGATCAGCAAGCTGCTGCATTCTGGGGTTGAAGAAGACTCTCTTCATGCTTTGCAAGATGTCCAAGCAACATGCAAAGCCAAATATTAAAGAGGCTAATTTCTCTGTTGCCTGGTGGTTAGTGTTCAGAAAACACAGGGTGCTGAACCCAGCTTTTCCTGTGTCCTCTGTTAGGGTGCTGGATATCAAAGGTGCTGTTCTAGGCCTGTGCTTGTGGACTGTGAGCAGGTGGGTGTTTTCTGATAATATGTGCCTGAGCTCTGAAGATTCAGCAATGGATGTGTACCCAGTAACTGAATCCCAGAGGACCACACAAGTGTGGCAATCTTCCCCCAGCTGTCTGAAAATGTCCAGAAGCACAGCTTTAGGGAGCAGGACACCCTGAACACCCAAAAGGGCGATGGAACCATGGGTGACAATCAAGCAAGTCTGGGGGGTTGTAAATTTGGCAAGGGCACAGGAATCTGCCCACAGTTTTTTTATGGTTCAAGAACCACTCTTCCTTCAAAAACTGAAGGAAAGGATGACATTTTTTATCAAGTTAGCTTGTTTGCAGGCCAATACCATGCTTGGCTGATTGCATTGGGTATGGTTGCCTACTATTCCAACTTGCTGTTATGCTGTTACATTTTATTGGTCGCTTAGTTATTTTCATTCCCAGTGCCATAACAGCTCTGAAACCAACTGTGGACGTGTGTAGGTCAAGGGGAAGGAAAATTAAGGGTCATCTTAAGTTTATACAGTGGTGCTTTTTCATTTTCTATCAACCTAACTACATTTAGGCTCCCTGTCGGGTAAGCTTTTTTTCCCTTGTCTGTTATTTTCAAAGAAGAGAGTGCATATGACAGTCTGAGAATAGCACCAGCCTGAACACAGATGGTAGGGATTACACCACACTGAGCCTTGACCTTCAAAAGCCTGCCGTTTCTTTTCAAGGTTTCTCTTCTTTGACAGGTGTGCTGGCTTTTGTCAATTACTTTCATTAATGCCTTTTTTTCATTAAGATCAATTACCTGGGCTTTAGACCTTGTCTTAAAATTACAGCAAAGCAGGTTCCAAGTTGAAAAGCTGAAACTGTTTTCTGTATTTTTTTCCCCCTTTGTGTTGCCCAAGAGTACTCTGAAGCACTTGAAGATTTGACTCATAATGGAGAAATGTCATCCAGTTTCTACTCATTTCTATCAAGCACTCGGTCTATGAGATTGTGGCTGGTGCACAAGGTAAGGACTAACCCATCTAATCAGGTTTGCAGGGGTCTGTATTTCAAAAATATTATTTTCTGAGATGTTAAATACTATTAAAATATTAAATATGGGAACAGAAGTTAAACACTGATTTTAGAATGGGGAGGGAAACTTTGCACAGGCCAAATGAAAATCAGCTATTCCAGGCCAACTCCATTGAATTCAGTGGTATTCACTGGTACAGATGAAAAGAGGATTTAGTCTTTTCTTCATTCGAGATACTGAGGAGCAGGTCAGAAATTCAAATGCTTGTTGGAAACCTCATGAACTGAACAACCAGGGCCATGGCACTCTGCAGAACTGGGCTGCTGATGTAAGAACAGATTCTCTTGGGGGTTTGGCTTTTCCTCTGCTGCTTTGGGGCTAGCTGAAAATGCCATAAATGGTTTTCCTTAACATCATAGAGTGATTTCTGTGACTGTAAGAAATGTGGAAATCAGTGGCCAGTCAAATAGAACATTGCATGTTTCTCCCACTGTTCGGCATCTCACCAAAAATGTCTGTCTTGAATTTATTTCCAGTAGACGTTCAAACTTCTCTGGTAACAACCTATTTGTCCCAAACCTGAGCCTGTCTTTTCAGAATATACATAATAAGGAATGAGACCACAGCTGCCAGTTTATGACATTGAGGCAAAATGAGACTCTCCATCCCCTTAGGCCTTGTTATGGTCCCCTTGCTCTCTGCAGCCAGAACGAGGGGCAGAAAGGCTGGGTCAGCTCTGACCTGCCTGTGCAGTTTGCCCTCAGTCACACAGGAGAGCATCAGATCTGCAAGAAAACTGCATCTTTCCCAGATGACTGGCACTGGATGGTTTCTCAGGAGCAATAGAGATGAAGGGAAGAAGGATTGAAACGTTTTTCTGGCTCGGTGCCTCCTTTTACTCAGCGCTGCAACTGGAGGGACAGCCTAGTCCCAAACCAAACCTTAAAAGGCTCATACAGGACAGTCAGAGGGATAGAAACTCCTCATGGTCCACAAGGGAGATAAGCAATTAATGCTCATTAATGTTAATAAGAGTTACTGTGTAAATCCTCTGTCTCCTGGACCAAGCAAAAGAAAATCTGAAACCACAATAAATCTGCCTCAAATTTGGTAATATTTGTTCCAACTACAATATAATCACTAGAATAACATTGTGGTGCTGTAAAACATGTTGAAATATAGTGTTACATCATCACTGCTATTTGTGACTATAATTTTATACAATAAATTATGGAGCAATCCATGACTTGGGATTAAAATGACAGCTTTAATATGGCATTTTTAGTCTGCATAATGCTCTTGGTTCAGGACAGTAAGAGTTTTGATCTAAAATAAATAGGTGATAAAAAAGCCATGTGAGATTTGCTTTCATTTTAAAGCTTCATTAAAAAAGGATTTATCATTATCACTAAATATGAGGGGGAAAAAATCAAAATCTGAAATGCTCCATAAATTAACTCCATTTTTACCACATGACTTATAATTTAAAAGTTACTTAAGAAACAAATGGTACTAATTTCCTTTAAGAATCCCAATCACATAAAAAAATGAGCTATTCACTTTGAAAGCCACAAGCTACACCTAAAAATCTAAAAACAGAGCAGGAGTTTTTTTTTTTCTTATTTCATTACTGAAATGGAAATTATTTTCAGACTTCTGATGAGATTTTTGCATCAGCTTTCAGTAAATTTAAGTTAGATCTCTCTTGAGTACTCTGCAGTGAACAATGGGTGAGATATAAGCCAAATATGTGCAGCATTCTGGTGTGGTTTTTGTTGGTTTGTTACATATAGAACATTCCAGAAATTAATGTATCTAAGAATAATTTGTTTAAGTGGAATCTTCCAAAAGTTTAACACAGTACCAACACTTATCTGCAGGTTTTAGCAGGCACAGGAACTGAGATAGATAATCTTTCTGTTGTGGGCTTGTACTTATTAAAGTATCTGATTATTAACGATACCCTGTAGAATAAAACTCTATAATACATTAAAAAAACGCATAAAAATACCAAAATCTTTGTCTAAATGATGTATAATTACACTTATCAGAAATATTATTATTCATTGTTGAAAGTGTACTTAATTTGAAAATATGTTTCACGTGCTGCCCCCTCCAAAAAGAAGTTCATAAAAGTTTTCAGCAAAGCATTTTTTCTTTGTGATATATAGTTTCATTTTATTAAAAACCTATGATTGTTTCTACTTTTTTTTTTCCAGAGAGAGAGACATTGAATATAATGAGTTAATGTTTTATGATTCTGCCCTGAAATCACCTCTTTTTATTGCTAATTTGAGCTTAAACTTAGAAAATCCCTTGGGCCTTTATGTATTGTTACTGTATGAAAAATATGGGAAAAAAAGGAAGACAGAGCAGACTTCAGTGGAGTGTTTGTTTATTGCTAAGCCTATGCTTAAGTTATGCTGAAATGGACCTGAGTAAGATTAATTCCAGCAGAAAAGTAAAAAAATCACGAATTACAAATGTTGGATTGTTCAGCAGATCATTCTTATTGAGATGAGCACGAGCATCTCAGAAAGGTACATTCTGTAAGAGTTTGTATCAGTAGAGTTTGCACAAGAGTTTAGAACTACCAGAGAGAAATGAACTCAGGTCCAAAATGGAAATCTATTGAAAACTTAGGTTCAGTTCATATTTATAAGTACTTAGCAAGAATCTACAGATTTTAAGATCTGCCCAAGCACGTTATTGCTGTGAGAAACTATCCCCAAACTTGGTGCACACTTTGTTATTTAAAGTTGTGTTCTTTAAATTGGAAAGCTCTATTGTATTGCACCATTATAAAATTACTTTCATTCTAATTATATCTAGGCAGAGATTACTGATAATTAATATAACAAATAATTTTGACTACTTACAAGATGATTATTGCTGTGAAATAACACGGGAACCTCTGATATACTGTATTATCTCAGGGTTAAATACAGGTCTGTGAATGGCTGTCATTTAAAAGCCCATCTAGTAGCATGTTTTATACCCGTCTTATCAGTAAATCTCTTTTTTTTTTTTTTTTTAAAGATACGTGATCTAAAATTTAAAAGTAAAATTTAATTTCCTCTCCTTACCAAATATAATGCCTCAGTACCAGGCTCATGCTTCAAGATCCGTTTCACTAAGGAATCATTTTCATCTCTGTCCTCTGTGTTGTCTCTTTATGTCAGATATTTTTACATGCTTTATGTTTTTGGCTGACCTTATCTTCCCACTAACACTGAAATACCAATTGGTGCTGCAGCTGCCAGTCATGCAGCTTCCCTAAAGTCTTTGTGACCTATTAATCAAGGTGAGAAAATTTCTCAACTGTGAGAAAGAAAGACCCCTTTAAAGTCAGAGTAAAAGTAAATTAAGCAAAGTAAATTAATTTTAAAAATCGTGATTCTCCTCCTGAGATGAAATTTCTGGTACTCTGTAATAGGTGTACAAGACAATAGCGTGAGTTGTGAGTTAATAAAACATCTCTAACAAAGCACCACAAGCCAGCATGTCAGCTGAGCATCATCCAGAAATGTTTATAAAGTGAACTAAAACTGTTTTCTTTTTCTGTAAAATTTCAGTTTTGTGGTTTTGTAACACCACCGACTTTATTGGATGTGGAGGTGTTTCACAAAAGACAAGGTTTATTTTGGGACCTTACCATGATTTTGGGGTCTTATACTTAAACCATTATATAGATTGCTACTGTTAATATTATTACTAAGCTAAACAAAATCTAAAATGGATCTCAGGGCTCTCCACAAACACTAGAATTGGAAAACCGAAATGTTCTTTTCAAAACACCCTACAAATTTTGAGAAAAATACACAAGATTTACCAGAATAAAACCCATAATCCTCTCTCACTATGTTGTTGTATTAATGCACTAAGCCAAAAATATCCTCTACATACTAAAAAGAGTAACTATATTCTGAATCCCAGCCTAAAGGTTTAAGGTGGAGATACTGTTTCAGATCTTATTCCTGGGGAAATTGGGTCCAAGTTAGAACAGCTTTGATACCAGCTTGTTCCTCAAGCTCTTACTTGCAGGCTAAATTGGGTTTAAGAAAAACCTTCTCGGGGAATTTATTATTGCATTGCTCATAAAACAACATCCCATGGTTTTATTTCACTAGCTTGTGACATACAGAAATCAGGCAAGGATTAACTGACTGTAATACCAAACATATTAGAACAATCCCTTTGTACCTGACAGCAAATTGCAAACAGCAGCTCTGAGTCTGTAAGCTGTGGAGTTCATATTTCAGAAGTGCTGAAATATTCAACAGCTTATTAAGACTTGATACTTATTGTTTCCTCTGATGGAAAATGCAGTATTCCTCCAAATATTTGCAGTTCCAGCAAGGGATTGGTGTTCTGAGAACAGAAAGCTTGGGAATTTTGAAGTGGCCTTATTAAATTAATAAGCATAAAGTAATGAACACGCATATACCACCATCTTCATGTAATCCATATTTTGGCACTCAGTACAGGAATACTTGTAGCAATGTTTGGAAGAAGTGCTTAAAAACTTTATAGCATCTTTTACCCTGTGACTTGTACAAAAGGCTTTTGCACAGGGTGTAAAATACTGTACAATATAAGTAAATGTAGTGCAATTAAATCAGTTGCAATGTGATACATGCTAATTTAGTAATCCAGAAGTCAAATATCTTATATGTAAAGCTAATAAATGCTAAATTTGTGATGAGAAGCAGCTTCAGTTCTAGCATTAGCTCATAGACAGAGATGAACAGAGAGTGAAAAGGCAAGGTATTTCAGAAAGAGAGAAATAATATTCTAGTATTGATTTGTTCTTATTTGTTCATTTTTAAGAAAGTAGGTGTTGCTATATTGGACAGAGAACAGGAAAAAAGGGACATTTTTTTCAGAATACCTGCACAAGTTATATCAAAATTTAACATATATGTAAAGATTGGGTAGAGAATTATGCAAATATATGGAGGATTCTCTTACTTTTTTGAGGATATCATATG